TTAGGCTTTAACCATGCCAGTGATAGCAAGGTTTAAAACAAGCAAAATTCCACTGTGTATCACTTACTCAGTACGCTTCCGAGGCTAGATATGAAGATGGTTATACAGGATTTAGGAACCAGTCCTCTTTGGTGGGATGGAGGGAGGGAGACAAAAGCAGCAGAGAAGCCCAGGAGCCTCAACAAGCCGGGGTGGGCAGCTTCCTTCCTCAGCCGGGTGGCTCCTCTCAGTGCTTCATGCCCATGTGTCACCTTCACTAGGTATAAAAGGTGTCACTATGCACTGTGGGTCTTTGCATCCCATCATTCCAAAATCCACCTTGCAGCCCTAGGGACACGACTCAGCTACCTCCAGATCTTTCAAAGGCATGTGTTTCTGGGAACTTGGAAAGAACAATCTTCAAGGCAGCCTGCTTTACAGTTGAAAGCATCTGTTTGGATATGTATGTGATGGTAGAGATCACCAGGTGTGTGAAGTACATAGTTCCACTGGCGACGAGCTGTGTCCCATGTTTGTCCTCACACGGCTGTGGCGTGTCGGAAGTCTCCTCTGATCTTCTGAGTGCACAGGCAAATCTTGGGGCCTCAGACCCCAGATCGTACCTATCACGAAATACCTACCCTCCCGTGGAGTGGAGGAAAAGTCAAATAAGTATACTGCTCTGTGCTGTGCCCTATGGGGGGAAATGCCCGCCCTTTTCTATAACTACTGGATCCTCCTTTTCATCTGGGCACAGTGGCACCTGGCACTGCCAATGGGAGACAAAGCCTGTGGCACGTTGATTTGGAGCTCTGTGGCTAAGATACTTTCACACCAGCAACTCGAACTGTTACAAATTTCAGCACAGAGAAAGTTATTCTTGTGGCAGTATCCGAGGGTCACGTCATAGATTTGCAGAAGAAGAAGAACAACAACAACAACAAGGAGCAACAGCAGCAGCTGTTCTCTTCATTGAGTTAGCCACATGGGTGATAGGCCTCTCTGGCTCAAAGACGTGATACCACATGTATTCAAAATGGTCTCAGCAGATACAAGAATCGGTGGAAGAAGCATCTGACTCTGAATGGGAATTGTGCTGGATGTTCTATGACTTGTTAACTATCAAGTTAGAAACTTGTCAAGGATCCCATAAGGCTTTCCAAGAGTGGATGCTTTGTTATTTCCTCGTCGCAATCTTTCCATAGGGCAACGGTCAAGACCTCAAACAATAAGAATGTGTCAGTGGCTGAAACGTTCTTTTTAAAAACAAATAGCTTTCTGACAAAAAGAACGAGACAGAAGAAATGAATTCTGTTCCGAAACGTAACAAACCTTTATTGAGCTTCGATACCAGGCTGTCAGTGCTGGGATTCATCTGTGAACCAAACAGACAGGCCCCTGTCCTCATGGAGTTTGCAGTCTAGTGATTTCTTCCAGTGACTCACAGGATTACACATAGGACGACAGGGACAATGATCACATCAGCCCCTGCAGGACGCCTTCCGTGAGCCTTGTGGCCCTCCAAACTAAGCTAAGTGCCACCCTCGGGGCTCCTGGGACCCCTGGGCACACCCGATGCAGTGATTAAGACTGTGTTGGCATTCCAGCTTTGCCGCCTCCCACCTGTGAAATTTTGTGCCAGGTACTCAGCTTCTCTACTGGGCAGTCCTGGTGGCAGAATGGTTACATGCTGGGCTGAAAAGCGCAAGGTCAGCAATTCAAAGTCACTGGCTGCTCTGCAGGAGAGAGACAAGCCTTTCTACTCCCTTAGAGACGTACAGTCTGAGAAACCCCCAAGGGGCAGTTCTACTATGACCAATAGGGTCGCTGTGAGTCAGAATTGACTGGATGGGATGGGGTACAGTGAGACTACACTGAGTAACTGCTGGGTGGCAGACACTCTGCTTGATGTAATTCATGTGTTATGAAGAGATCTAATTATGATTATCCTTTTACTGGTAGGAAAACTAGAACCCCTCTAAGAGTAAGTAACCTACCCAAGACTCACAGCACACCTGCCAGGTACACTCATAAATAGGAGTCCCCTCAGAGCCAAGACTAGGCTTAGACAAGAAGGGAGTCATGGCTGTCCAGGGTCAGGCCTGCCTTTATGGAAAATGTCGGTGTCTTGTTTATTATGGATTTTTCACATTCATTTTCATTTTCTAAATGCCACATCACAGTGTGATTTATACCTCGAAGTCCGGTTTTGGGGCCGCCCTTAAGTTCTGTCCCTGTGGCGAGGGGCCCCTTGCCTTCCCTGTTGCAGAATTGTCCACACTATCATCAGTGCCACAGCTGAAGGTTGATATGTTTATCACACCGATCTGTTGGTTGCTCCTGCTAAATTCTGAAGGGTTTAAAAGTAGCACCACGTCTTGTGTCCGTAAAGCCTAGTACAAAGTTGGCACATAAAATGTGTTCAAGAAATACCAAACCTTCTCCATCTGTGATTATTTTTTTAAAAGATGAATTTTCATTCAGTAAGATCCGAGAACTAGGGGACCTCCTCCATTTCCACGTGGTCCAATTAGTCTATCATGTATTATTGCTGCTAGTCACACTGTTACCATTATTTACATAAGAAGGGAATACTTTAAAGTGGTGAGAACCCAGGTGATCTATGTCTCTTTAAAACTCTTCTTTAGAAAGCTGATGGTGCCTGGCTATTAAAAGATATAGCATCTGGGGTCTTAAAGGCTTAAAGTTAACCAAGCAGCCATCTAGCAGAGAAGCAACGAGCCCACATGGAAGAAACACTCCAGCCTGTGCAATCATGAGGTGTGAGTGGGATCAGGTAACAGGCATCAAAGGACCCCAAACAAACAAATATATTAAAGCAAATGATGGGGGTCGTAGAGGAGACCCAAAGCCCATCTGTAGACAATTGGACATCCCCTCACATAAGAGTCACAAGGAGGGAACAGGTCAGCCAGGGTGCAATATAGCACCGACAGAACACACAACATTCATCTAGTTCTTTAATGCTTCCTCCCCCACCCCCACTATCATGACCCCAGTTCTACCTTACAAATCCGGCTAGACTGGAGCTTGTACACTGGTCCAGATAAGAGTGCTCAACACACGGAATCCAGGACAGATAACCCCCTCAGGAACAGTAATATGAGTAGTGATACCATGAGGGTGGGGGGAAGTTAGGGAAGCAAGGGGGGAAATGGGGAGTCATCTACCATGATCAATGTATAACCCACCCACCCCGGGGTGGGGGGTGGGGGAGAAAACAACAGAAATGTTGGCGAAGGGAGACAGTGGGTGGTGTAAGATATGAAAATAATAGTAATTTATAATTAGGGGCCCATGAGGGAGTGGGGGGAGAGAAAAAAAGAGGAGCTAATACCAAGGACTCAAGTAGAAAGAAACTGTTTTGAAAATGATGGCAACATATGTACAAATGAGTTTGCTTTTGAATGGATTGTTTTAAGAGCTGTAAGAACCCCCTATAAAATGATTTATTAACTAAAAAACCTCTTTAATTATTTGACTTCTTTTTTTTATGAGACATTAAAGGAGAGGTCATTGCCATTTTGATTTCCTTAAGAATGCCTTGCCGAGTTTCCCCTTACGTTGTTTCTGTTACGGTTAGAGTCCATCAGGTTGGTTTTCTCTCATAGCACCCTATATCCACTAAAACAAAGCACTGCCTGGTCCTGCACCATCTCACAGTTGTTCTAGCTGAGCCCACTGTAGCAGCCACCGTGTCAATCCCCTTCACTGAGGCTCTTCCTCTTTCTTTCACTGTCCCTCTGCTTTACAGGCATGCTGTCCTTTCCCAGAGATGCGTCTCTCCTTGTAGCATAGCCAAAGTCTCGCCACCCTCGCTTCTAAAGAACTCTCTGGTTGGACATCTTCCAAGACAGCTTGTTTGTTCTTCAGGCAGCCCCTGGTGCCCTCAGAATTCTTCAGCAGGACCCTAATTCAAGAACTGCAAATGCCTCAAACCTTCTCTGATCATCCTCACCCACTGTCCAACTGCCCCATGCACAGGAGGCCACTGAGAATACCTTGGTTTGGGTCAGGTGCACCTTAGTCCTCAAAGTGATAGCCTGGCTCTTCAACACTGGAAGGAGGGGTTGTGCAACAAGGGAGCCCGCAAAGAACATCATTCCTACCCCCTCCCTCACTGCCACCGAGTTGATTCCGGCTCATAATGACCCTGTATGACAGAGTAGACTTGCCCAGGTTTCCGAGACAGTAAATACTTACTGTCTCATCTTTCCCCTGCAGAGAGGCTGGTGGGTTAGAACCCTGACCTTGTGGTTAGCAGCTCAGTGGAGAGGGGTGTGTGGGTGTGTCTATGATTTAAAAAGTACAAACACTGTGCTAAATGCTTTATACATTGATTTCACTTCATACGATTACTCTGTGTCAGCAAATACAGTCCCTAGAAATGAGGAAGTGAGCCTCAGAGGGCTTAGGTAACTTCCCAGCGTTGCCCAGCAAGTAGGTGGCTGAGCCAAATGTCTGACGCCAGCAGTGTCTTTTTGAGCTTAAGCCCTGGGATGGAAACTTGGGTATTTTCTAAGGTGCGGGGGTGGGGGAGAAGACATGCATTTATTGTCAATTTACTCTCAGAAAATGTATCTTCTCTGGATCATCATCCAGCTGAGTTCTATGGTGAATGAAAAAAGAACCTTCTGGAATTGTTCCCACTGTCTATTTGCCCTTGCCCCCATTCCTTGACCTTCAGTGCTCGCCACAGAGGGCGGCCGGGCAGAGTCCTGCCTGCACCGCCACCTTGTTTCCTCTTGATGGCTCTCTAATCGGTTTGGTTGTAAATGCATTCAGAAAGGAATGTAGCCTTTTCCTGAAGTCTCAACGTTTTTTTTCTTGCTAATGATTGATTTTGTTAGAACTTTATCCTCCTGAGTTCAAATATTAGGTTACTTGGTTCAGGTGGCCCGATATTTTGCCCATAAATGTGGTTATGTCACCCCACAGACGCAGAAATCTCATTCCAGCTTTGTTTAGCCTTTTTCTGTCCTCATTGGATTTTTGTGCAGGAGGAGAACTGGATTCTTCGAACTTGTCAGTAAAGGTGAATATGATTGGAACATCAAAAACCATCGTGATATATTTCGGTAAGAAAAAGCCCTTATGTGTGTTTTTTGTTTTGGGTATTTTTTTTTCATTATTTGAAGATAGCACCCCACTTTTTTTACAGGGCCAAGTGTAGATGAGGGGCTCTTTAATGCAGCGAAACTTAGCTCAAGTTCTAGAGAGAAAAGAAAACGTACCTCAGAAAGCAAACCTTCCCGTATTTCGGTCTCCCTTCATAGATTCATTTTCAAAAACAGAAAGTGAAGTTCAGAGCAGTCAGCAAGCCATGCCTTCCCAGTTGTTGAGAACGGGCAAGAGCAAACCCGATGTGTATCTCACCGTCTCAACCCGCGAGAGCAGCCACTCCCGATGTCAGGCACCATCCCTTTCTGGAATCCCTCAGCCTTCCCCTATGCCTGTCTCAGTCAGCCCCGGGCCTCCCACTTGTTTAGGTCTTTGCTGAAGCTGCTAAGTATGACTGTCAACGTTTGTAAGGTCGGCGCTATGGGCTCCGTGTGTCCCCTCCAAGGAGCCCCGACGGTGTCATGGGGTTCATGTTGGGCTGCTAACCTCAAAGACTGCAATTCGAATCTACCAGTCATTCCTTGGGGGAAAGACGAGGCTTTCTGCTCCCGTTAAGACTGATAACCACGAAAACCAAAGGGTTGTTTATTTGCCTGTTTGGTGTCTCCTCCACAATCAGGCAGCCATTGGAATGAATTTTAATGAACTCAATAAACTTGAACCAACTGAAGAAGTTAAAGGATCAAGCAGATGAGATCTAAGTAATGATCCAAGTTAGGGTTCAGTAGGCAACTTGACAGCGGCATTGATTATGCTGTGGCTGGTCTATGAAAAAGGCACGGCAAAACCCAATGGATTACCCTTCAGTCTTGTCCCCTCGGGTAACCAAACCAACACTAAAACCAAACCCAGGGCTGTCAAGTTGATTGGACGCAAAGCAACACTTTGGGGTGTTAGCATTCCTATGTTCACCATCAGGGTCCCCACAGCACCGAATATGGGAAATAGCAGAGTGGAGGGCGGGGCCTCGGAGCATTGTGGTAAGCACAGAGCCCTGAAGCTTTTGCTCAACCTTGGGAACCCTACTTTCTCTCTCCATGTAAACTAGGAAGAACAGCCTCTACTTTGGGGGATTGTGCTCAGGATTTTCTGTTAGGACAGGGGACTTCAAAAAGCTCATGGAATACTGGAATTAAACTATCTTCGATTCCCCCCCACCTCAAAAAAAAATTTTTTTTAAGACCCCTTCATATTTACAGAGCACTTAGAACGGAAGCAGGCATACAGTAAGCACTGTCAAAGCGCTGGTTAGAGAAGGTCAAAGATGAATAATGGGCTAATGCGTCTCTCTTTGCACGGTGCTTGCCACAAGGATGTTTGCAATGGATGCTTCATGAACGCAGCCCGACTCTCCAGGTTGTGCTCTGAATGGCCTGGTTGTGCTCTGAATGGCCCATTGTGATCATCCACTTTGCCTGCCGCCCTAGAGGGACGTCCTGAGGAGGTTACACAAACCGTGCTACCGTCTACGCCTGCACTGCCATCTGGGCAGCAGACGTGTTTCCGAGGAGTTCAGATCTGGCGGGTGATGAAATGTAGCCCCGCACCTCAGGCCTGCCCCCTGACATTTGAACAACACACCTCTTTCTTCCAAAAGGAATTAGCTAAGATGCCGTCCCCGGCTCATGTCTTCGCTTCTCGGCAGCAGACCCTGCTGGCTTTAGTCTAAAGGAAGCAGAGTCCAGACAAAGAGGGTGCCTTATTCTGCCCCGCCCCCACTCCCTGCTCCTCAGATTGGAAGAACCCCAGCTACCTAGAATTTCTCACTGTTCTCCATGTTACCATCGCCGCGATGCAGTGCGAATTCTGGTGAGACACAATGGCAAGCCGCCCCTCGGAAGTCCATTTCAAATCACCCCTGAGTGTTCCTAGTGCTCAAATGAATGAAAGCCGTGGCGGAATACGTTTCTTCATCGTGCTTATGAAACATGGCTGTCGCTAGGTTGTAAACTGGAGGAAAACGGTGGCTCGTCCCTGTGAATCTGAGCTCTCTGGTGCAGATGGACATGAAGGCGCCCCTCCTCTTTTGGTACAGGGTTTCTGCCGTCCCCATCAATCAGTGTGGAGTCGGTAAATAGATTCATCAGCCAGGTACCTAGCATCTCATACACATCCCCTTGCTTCCGATAAAAGACAGAGACATGCATGCATGGTCCCTTATCAGTGATTTTAAACAGGGCTTGCCTAGCTCAGGTGGTGAGCAAACAGTGCCCTGCGTTCCTTGAGTGTCTGAGGACCAAACAAAAGGGCCCCTGGAAGATGTGTGACCGCTTTGTCTCCCCAGGCAGAGCCGCCCACAGGATGGAGATGCTGAACGTAGGGACTGTAAACAGTGCTGCCCCTTGTTGAGGGAAAGGAGATGTGAGCCAGCCGGCCTCGTTTTCATTTTATTTATTTATGTATCTGGGACAGGTTTGTTTAGGAATGCAACAAAAGATTATTCAGGCTGTTTTGTTTGGTTCTGTTTTTCAGATCAATGTTAATGACAGCCTGTGACCTTGGAGCCGTGACCAAACCGTGGGAGATCTCCAGACAGGCAAGTGGTGATTAATGACCGGGTTCAGCGGTGGAGGGACTGAGGGCTGGGGGAGGGGCAATATTCCCAGAGCCCCCACTCCCGGGCACTAAAACCCTAGTCAATTTGCATCAGTATTAACATGGTATAAAAAATAGCAGGAGGCTTGGGCAAGACATGGTTTATTGCACACTCCTTGTCTTGATCACACTGCCACTGAGCGGTAATATTTCTGTACTGGGTAGGATTTCTTTTTTTCTAAACGTATAAATCACATGGCACGTTGACCATTTCTAGAGGCAAGAATTTCAAAAAAGACTGTTTTGAAATAGGTAATCGTGTTTAAGCACAAGGTCCCAGTTTTCACATCTGAAAAAATAAAAACAAGAAGAAAGGTAAAAAGGTAACTATTTTTCTTTAAGAAGGCCCTATAGAGAGCAGAGGACTGTTTGCCGAAAGTGTGCAGTGTCCAGTTTAATTTGTACAAAAAAAAAAATCATGCCTTGACCACCCATTTGGAACTGTAGATAAACTGTGTTAGTTCTGTAGTAACTACAGTATACTAATAATATTTGGAAGTTCATAGCTCTTAAAGTTTTACGACATCTCTCGTGCAAGCCTTGTGGTTCAAAACAGTACCTTGGTATCTTAAGACGTGACATTGTAGGACAACTAGGACACATTTGTATAGCCATCAAAACTCTATGCTTATTGACTGTTTACTGGTTTATGGTTTATGGTTACATTATTTCATCTAAATCCTCCCAACCCCCATTTGAGGAAGGTATAATTATTGTGGTAGATTAAATAAAGGTTCCTAAAGATATTAAGTCCTGTTTTCTGGAATTTGTAAATGTGATTGTTTGAGGATAAGGAGACTTTACAGATGTGATTAAGTTAAGGATTTCTGACCTGAAAACGTATCCCCGATTATTCTGTCACTGACCCTATAGGACAGGGTAGAACTGCCCCTATAGGTTTCTGAGACTGTAATTCTTATGGGAGTAGAAAGCCTCATCTTTATTCCAAGAAGCAGCTGGTGATTTCGAACTGCTCACCTTGTGATTAGCAGCCCAAAGCACAACCCACTACACCATCAGGGTTCCTTCTAGATTACTCTGGCAAGCCCTAAATCCAATCACCATGTCTATATAAGAGAAAGAATTAAATATAGAGACGAGGAGAAAGCTCTGTAACACAAGGCAGGGGTAGGAGTGATGTGACCACAAACCAAGGCACGCAGGCAGCACCAAGAGCTGGCAAGGACTGGATTCTCTTCAAGAGCCTCCAGAGTGAGTGAGGACCTACTGGTACCTTGATTTTCACCCAGTGAAACTGATGTTGAACTTCTGGCCTCTAGAATTGTGAGATTAAAATTTCTGTTCTTTTAAGCCATTATTATTAGGTGCAATTGATATGAGGTTCAAACTCATAACTGTCCTATGTCCAGCAGCAGCATCCTCACCATTGTTACTATCCCTAAGCCCATTGCTGCAGTCACTGTGTCAGTCCATCTCATTGAGGGCCTTGCTCTTATTTACTGACCCAATACTTTACCAAGAATGATGTCCCCCTCCAGGGACTGGTCTCTCCTGGTATTATGTGCAAAGTACAGAAAATGAAGTCTTGCCATCCTCACGTCTAAGAAGCATTCTGGCTTTCCTCGTCCTAGACGGGTTTGTTGGCTTGTCTGCAGTCCATGGGCTGTTCAGTTGTCTTCACCAATCATTCAAATGCATCAGTTCAACTCCACTTGTCCCGTGCATATGAGTGATTGAAAATACGAGGGTTTAGGTCAAGAACATTTTCGTCCTCAAAGTGATATCTTTGCTTTTTAACACTTTTAAAGAGGTTGCTGGCAGCAGGCTTGCCCAGTGCAATATGCTGCTGATTTCTTACCTGCTGCTTCCATGACTGTCGATTGTGGAGCCAAGTAAGTGCCATCTTGACAACGTTAATCCTGTCTCCAATTATTATGATGCTGTGTGTTGGTCCAGTGACAAGGGCTTTTCTCTTCTTTACATTGGGTTGTAATCCACATGGAAGCCTGTAGCCTTTCATCTTCATCAGAAAGTGCTTCAAGTCTTCTTCGAATTCAGCAAGCAAGGCTATGCTATCTGCATATCACAGGTTGTTACGCCACCAAATTTATGGTAATTTGGGTCCACAGCCTCCCTCACTACCATCGAGTCATTCCAACAAGACAGAGTAGAACTGCCCCTGTCGGTTTCCAAGGCTATAAATCTTCATGGGTGCAAAAAGCCTCCTCTTTTTTCCTTGGAACAGCTGGTGCTTTTGAACTGCTGACCTTGTGGTTAGATGCCCATTAGGTCACTGTGATGCCTTTCCACAGCCTGGGCAACTAGGACAGTTACTAGTCCCCATTGCCTAAGTGGGGAATATGAAGTCTTAAAAGGATAAGTGCCCTGAATACCTCATACAGGTGGAACTAGGTATTCAGATCCTGGCAGATTAGCCCTAAAATCTTTATTTATTAACGCTATTCATAACAGCGTTCCATACTTTATTAGACAACGTGCATCAGTCCTCGCTTCTAAATGCTGTGACTGGATCAGCAGGCATCCTAAGTTCCAATAGCCTATGACAATAAATCACTCACACACGTGTGCACACAAGATTAGCTGGTGCTCTTATCTGCACGCTCAAGCAGCTGACATGGTAACCACTGCCGTTCATTGTGGCAGAGGCAGGAAGAGTCCCGGACAGTCTTGTCCTGGCAGTGGAATCCCCACCCCCAAACAATTCATTGGCCAGAATTTGTCACATGACCTCACCCAAGCACACATGAGAGAAAGGAAGCACAATGCTTCCGTGTGTCCACAAAGTAGCACGTCAGAGACTTCAGTCTGCCCTTCTGGTCGCCAAAACTGTGGTTTGTGCTCCTTCCTGCAGGCAAAATATACCCATCCTCCCCCAGAGAGACAGCCTAGGCATCAAGCCCCAAGTCCAGGATCTCTAAGTGATACATGCTACCCTGTACATCAGATCAAGAAGCAGGCTGAAACCTACACGCACTCACATGTAACGCCTGGCATATACTCAAAAGACAATACTCATTTGAACACTCTCAGTCAGAATGGGAAGAGATGGGTGCTAGTTGATGTCTGGTAGTCCATAAAACAAAACCCACTGCTGTGGGGTCAATGCCGACATATAAGGACCCTAGATTGGGTTTCCAAGCCTGTAACTCTTTTGGTACGGATGTAGCCTCCTCTTCGTCCCATGCAGCAGTTGGTGGGTTCACATTGCCGACTTTGAGGTCAGCAGCCCATGGTGTAACCCATTATGATACCACGGTGTCTCTGGAGACCATAGCGATTTCAGAACGCTGGTGGCATTCTTTGTGGGACCCTCGCCCGGACCCTGAGTCTTTAGAAAAGACTCTCCAATTCACGGTTCCAATTAGTCTCAGAAACCCACAGTGCCAGCTCTACCCTGTCCTGTAGGGTCTCTATGAGTTGGCATGACTGGATGGTAGTGAGAAGCAGCCTTAATGACATGTCAGTTGTGAGAAAGCGCTGGACTGCTAACCGTAAAGTAGACAGTTCGACCCACCAGCAGCTCCAAGTTGAGGCTGTCTGCTCTCATAAAGATTTACAGCCTCAGAAACCCTAGAGGATGGCTCTGAGTCAGAATCCACTGGATGGCAGTGGGAGGTTGCGCTCTGTCAGGGAACCCGTTCCTTTTCCATTAACTTCCATGACTTTATCTGAAAGTCAATCAGCTTTCTCAGCTTGCTTATACCACCTCCAGAAGGTTGAGGGCCCACGGCTGCTACTTTAAAGTTCTAAATAGTCACAGACGTGTAGTTTCTTTGACACTAGAATACTTTTAAACAATTAGTTAGCCTAAGTCTCTGATCCTAGTTGTTTCCATGTGCCAATACCACATTACAGTTCTTTTCTGTACAAACATCTTAGATTTTCCAGATTTCTTTGCTCCTATGCTGCTATATTAAGAAATACAGCAGCTATACCCATATTTCTGTCTCCTCTTATCATGACTAAATTCCTAGTACCTTGGGCTTAAACAAGCGTCATTGAGAAAGCGGCATAAACTCGGATCTCTAAGCCACGTTTGTCCAGTTGAAAAGGTTCACTGCATTCCACCTATCATTTCAGCATTTGAGACTATGAGTGAGCCAGACACTTGATTTGATTCTTGGTGCATGGCTGAGTGGTAATCAGCCGTTGTCATTCAAAGCATATCCCCATTTCCATTTTCACTGCTTGGTGTTGAGAAGTCGCTTTACCTTTCATCCCTGGAAGACCCTGACTTGTGACCTTCTCTGTTCCCTCTCAGTCCTAGTTGGAGATCTGACGTCCTCTTCTGAGCTCACCTCTTGTGACACCTAACAAGGTCGAATCAATAGCAACCATCGGGTGATACTGATGTTCTGGTTTCCGACCTCCTCTCCGACAATGACAAGTTCATTAGCAACATTGTTTGCTGTATGTTAGTGAGAATTGTACAGAACATTTTTTACTGTGTGATGTGGATCAACATCCTAACAGCTGCCCCACTCCTTCCTACCTGGCTCCTAAACAAGGCCACGTATTTATTTTATACACAGTTTTATTGGCACCTTCATCCACGTATCATACAATTCACTTGCTCAATCCTATCAAAAAGGGTGGTACAACCATGACGACATCAATTTTAGGATCTATTTTTCTCCGTTGTACCCACTGTTCTTAGTGTCATTTTTTTTTTTAATTGGAGAAGCCTTCAATTTTAGGTTTCTTCCTTCCCTCGGCCCCTGTCCCTTCCCTGCCCTCCCTGCCCTCCTTTTTCCCTCACTTCCCTTCCCAATAGCAGCACCTGCTTCCAGACCAGGGTTTGCACCCTTCAGGGCCAGGCCCGGAGCCCTGGGGGAAACAGAGCTCAGTTCCCAGTGCCTCACTGAAAGGTTGAATGCAGGCATGTAGTCCCTTGGTGGCTCCTTTGGGGAAAGGCCTGGCGAGCTCTTCCTGTGGGCAGCACAGCCTGGACAGCTGTGT